GGCCTGAGGTATTTGTTACTCAGTGGTCTCTCCATCCTCATTTGAAAATGTGACAGATAAGAGGGTCGCAGGAACTCACCACAGACTCCTTTCTTACTTGTGGGAACCCAAATTGATCTCGGAGATGACCCCTCTACTACTGAGAAACTTGCCAAGAACAAACAGAAGCCCAGAGATTGCCGGAGAGCTGTCAAATGTGCGGAGCGTTCTGCACGCACACAGAAAGGCCTGCAGAATGCATCGGACAGTAAGTCTGGCTGTGCCGGGCCCAGAACTGAAGAGGTGCAGGTGTGTGCTGTTATGACATCTTCCACAGCCTTCTGCACAGCTGCTTCCGCATCATACTGGAAGCAATGTTTCAATCCAACTGAAGATTAAAGAATTCAAATTCGTGTTTGTGAGACAAGGCCCACAGGTATGGCCCCCGCCCCCTCAGAAAAAGTGATCAAGATTGCTTTTTGTATTGTTTCAACGAGAAGGAAAATGAACGGTTTGGGTTTTTTTTTAAGGGATGCTTACTGACGACTCTGTAAGATGATTTTGAATTGTTGAAGCCACTCCCTGGTTCTACTCTGGAAAGTAATGAGTCATCGGGCCTCGGAGTATTTTGTTTGGCGTGTGTGTGTGTGTGTGTGTGTGTGTGTGTGTGTGTCTCGGGGAGTTCATTTTATTATTAGTTTGTAATTCATTCAGCAATGGACTACTCTCGAGGGGAGGAGGACAGAAGTCACATCCCTCCTCTAGATCAAGTTTAGAAAACATGTTGCCCACCTGATGCTCCTAGGAAGGAGCATGGTAAACGCCTCATTCCACAGCACATTCCTTTCTGAACGTTGCCTTTCCCTCAACCCTAAACAGGTCCCTATTTGAGGAAGCTCCTGACAGTGGGTGGGGCCTGGCTTGCCCCGCCTCTTTTCTAGGATGCACTAGATACCTGTGACTTTCAAGGAAATCTGTTTGCCATTTGCTGTTTTTCGGAAGTTAATTTCTACCTTTTTCATTTCTTTTATAGGGGAGAGCGCGAATGCAGTCCCCCACAAAGTATGCAGTCGAGGTTCCCGCATTTGGGGAAATCGCAGGGTCAGCACACCCGCAGTGCACCGGGTGAGCCTCGCCCTGGGAAAACCACCGTCCTGATCACGGTGTCTCCCCTGCCGGTATTTCTAACTTCTTTTTACTGATAAATGAAGAAACCTATTGCACCTTTTAAAATACACCAAATGAACTGAGTTCTTAATTAAAAGAAAAAAATCGTTCCTGTCAGTCACTGTCTGAAAATCTTCGATATGCAGCTTAACAGTATATGACATGGTGTCCCTAGAAGGCAGCCTGGTGTACAGAGGAAGTCCGAGGGATGAGGCGAGCAGACAGATGCCTGTGGAATGATTCACCGCCCCTTTCGAGGGAGGGAGATAGAGGGCTGCTTCATTAGGAGGCAGAAGTGGGGTGGGGGTGGGGAGAACATGTATCCACAACATGGGGACCACCAGGGGCATCCCCTTGTTTTCCATGAGGAACTCTAGAGTGGCTAGCTAGGGTGCTCTAGTTTAATAAACACCACGGGGAAGTCTTATGAGGACCACGTAAGGGCAAATAAGGCTCTTCTCAGCTTATTTTGGTGCAGTTTCCAATTTCTTAAAAATGCTCAGGATATCTTTTCTATCTTCTCCAAATCCTACTTCTTAAAGAATCATTAGCGTTGAATCAATGCTTTCTCACGTCTCAATTCTTTGTATATGCTTTCTTTTCAGATATATTAAACAAAAAAGTATTGCTAAGGGCAATGAATGTACAAATGTGCTTTACACAATTGATGGATGTATGGATTGTGATGAGAGTTGTATAAGCCCCCAATAAAATGATTAAAAAAAACAACAAAAACAGATGAGTGGTTAAACAAGCAAACAAAAAGTATTGCTACTCGGGCTCCAATTCATACGTGCACGTTTATTCCAAACAAACTGTGCTTAAACATGTCTGTGTGATCTGATCAGTGGATGGCTGCAGACCAGCTCTCTCAGTCTCCTTAGGGTGTCTCCCAAAAAAAACAGATTCAATCAAAACAGTGGTTTTCTTAAGGGATTTGCAGGGCCAGTTAAATTCAAAGCAGGTAAGTCAGCTCAAAAGGTTATGGCAAATGCTTGGGATTCCTTAGGGGTCATCTTGATAGATCCCCCCGCCCCACCCCCACCCCCCAAGCGTGGACAGTTTCATTTGTCAACAAGGCTGCTGCTGAAGCTGCTTTTTCACCTGGATCACAAATCAGTTGGGCCTATTTATGCAAGGCTACTTCCGGGTTCTGCCCTGTTGATCCACAGCCCATGCCTCCAACAGCACCATGCCACCAAAGTGACCGCAGCTAGGGAGGGTACGGCTTAAAGTAAGAAGCATGAGTCTTACCGTTTTATTCTGCTTCCAAATAACTAGCTTTAAGCTTAGCTAGTATTCATGTTGTTGTTACGGGCCTTGTCTAAGTTGTAATCTAAAGAAAAAAGTTATCACTTAGGCAAAGGGGAGACACATTAAAGACTTTGCAACAAGTGATAAAATTACCTGGGGTCCATGACACAGTTCAAGAAAACACAGTTCTAGAAAGACCTGCCTGCTCCTCTCAGGACCATGGAATTGCCACAAGCATTTTCACATGACACTTTTCAAGAAACCATTATTAACAGTTTTGTAATTGATTTGAAAATGTTTCGTTTTAGAACCATCTAAGAATCTAAAGCAGTATGAATAATCTACTTTCGAAAATAAACACAAGTTAACGGGGCGTGTCTGCCGAGGTTCCCACTCAGGAATGGTACCAGCTTGAAAGGCAGAGTTCTAGTTTGTGGCAATAGCACCAAGGGGGCATTGACAGGCAGACTCCTCGAGTCCAGACCGAGAGTTCCTTTCAGTCAGTAAGAGAATTGGACAACAACGAAGATCCCATGTCTCCTGATAGAATCAGCCGTTCATGACCAAAGCAGAGCGCAGTGACACTTCCAGGTGAAGAAAGGTCTATGTGTGCACAGTGAGCATGTGTGTGTCTATCCTTGATATACCGAGCTTTTGATTATCTTTTCTCTTCCTAGGACTACACATTTCCTACAGCGCTGCATCTGTGAAGTCTTTCAAATAGTGGCCTAATCATTTATGAAAACTAAAAATATAAAATCAAAGAATTCCAAAGAGCAGTTTAAATATATTTTCACAGGTGCCCTGGTGGTGTCATGAGTTACACAGTGAGCTGCTAAACCATCAGGTTGGTGGTTCAAACCCACCAGTTACTCTGAGGGAGATGAAGCTGATTGATCCCATAGACTTAGTCTTGGAAAACCTATATAGGGTCCTTATGAGTCGGAATCCACCAGTGAGTGGGTTTGATGTTTGATATATTTTCATAGCTATTAAAGGTAGTTAAATTTCAGTGGAAATTTTATAACTGAACATACCATATTTTAGTATGGATTTGACTTTTAAGTTTAAAATTTCCCATTGCTATTGACTTAATACTTTATCAAGAAACTACCAAGTACTAAAGCACCATTCTTGGTGCTTGGATTGAAAGCCACTGTGACTCTCTGCTCCTATAAGATTTACAGCCTCAGAAGCCTAAGGTAGGGTTGCTGTCAGAATCCACTTACTGGCAATGGTGTGCGATGCTCTAGAAGTTTCCATTGCTGCAGGGCAGTGACAGAATATAAACAATATAATTCCCTACCTGCCTATCGCTTGATGGTGGGAAAAGAGTTTGTCTTAAAAACCCACTCAAGCAGTTCCACCCTGTCCTTTAAGTCGGCTGAGTTGGACCGACTGACGGCAGCGAGTTTGCTGTTTGGTTTGGGGAGATGCTGAGCAGATGAAGAGGGAACACGTGGAGTGTGAAAGGGGTTGAACCAAAGCCCACCAGACTTTTCCACATGATTAAGGTGAGTTTGAGAGCACCTTGGTTAAATGGGAAAAACACAAAAATGCACTATGTGAAAAATACTAAAAATGAGATGAATTTTTTAGATGAAATGCACAAAACATAAAAATTAAACAAGTCTATAGTATTTAGTACTTTTATTATGTTACACAATCAACATGGAGGTACCCTGGTGATTGCTGTCAGGAAATTATTGGAAGTGCTAATTGCAAGATTGGAAGTTCAAACCCCCAGCTGCTCTGTGAGAGAAAAACAAGGCCACCTGTTCCCACAGATTTACAGCCTCAGAAACCCGATAAAGGGTCCCTGAGACTTCATTAACTTGATCAGTGTTTTGTTTTGTATAGTAACTATCACTTTCGTCTAGCTCCAAAACCTATCACTCCAAAGTAAAGCCGTTACCCATTAAAGAGTTTTACCTTAGTTGAAAACTTTACTTACATCAGTAGTATAGCATATATTGGGGTGGGGGGCAGGGAGAAAGGGGATCTGGGCGCTTCAAAAAAATTCATGGAAAAATTCCATTATCTTTTAAATTCATTTCCCATGATTTAAAAAAATCATTTTATTAGGAATTTTTGTTTTAAGGAACTCTTAACAGATATAACAGTTCATAATTCAATTAGTTAGATCAACCAGTTGTAAACTGCTGCCACCATCTTTTTCAGAACTCTGCTTGACCACCATGATTCTTTGAAATAAACGTCGGATTTGGCATTTTAAAATCCTAAGTGGGTTTGTCATAATCACTGTGGTTTTCATGCCCCCCAAATTCAGGCAGTGCTGTTTTCTGTTACAACTGAACTGGCCCTGCTTTCTTGCTCCTACCGAACTGACCTCAAGCCTGGTGTGGCTCAGTGGGTCCCCCCGGGAGTAAGTATAACTCCAGGGGAAAAGACCTGGCAATGTCTGGAGATATTGGGGCTGTTCTAAGAGAGGGTGTTCTTGGCATCTTACAAGTCACACAGGGAAGCCCTTGGGACCCAAGAATTATCCAGTCAGAAGTACAACGATCCGGCCCGAAGTATGTTCCACGCCACCCAGCAGATGGCATCTCAGGGTGGCCTTGAGGAAGAGGAGTAGAGTGAGGACAACACAGAGAAGAAACAGCGCCAGCAAGGCAGTGGCCACATCCATGGGCAGCATCAGCACAGAATGGCAGGCTCCTCCTCCAGGGTGCCGAGTCCTGGCGGCAAAGTAAGTGCATGGAAGCTAATCAAACTGTCAGAGGCAGGCATCTACCCGTTGCTCTGAGAAGAACCGGTGATCTGCTCTGGTGAAGACTGTTGCTAGGTGTGGCTGAGTCAGTCTGGCTCATCATAACCCCAGGTCCAGTGGAATCCAACGCTGCCCAGGCCTGAGCCGTCCTCACAATCGTCCTTCTACTTGAACTCATGGTTGCGGACACTGTGCCAATCCACTTCATTGAGGGTCTTCCTCCTTTTTGAAGACTCTCTACCAAGCACGACATCATCTTCGACATCATCTTCCGGGGACTGGTCCTTCCTGAAGAAGCCCTGGTGGCATACTGGGTTATGTGTTCAGTTGCAAACACAAGGTCAACAGTTAGAACCCACCAGCGGTTCCTCAGGAGAAAGATTACAGCCTTGGAAACCCTGTGGGCACCTCTCTATCCTCTCAGGTGGCTAGGAGTCGGAATGGACGAGAGGCCGGAGTATGGTTATAGGGTAATGGTTAGCCTACGTTTCCTCACACAGTACTTTATATAATGCAGCCTGAGACGTATAGGGAAATCCAACCACATTTCAAACGTATAGCACCACGGCATGCCTCAACGTCCACGTACCTGTTTTAAAACAAGACCACCTTCCTGCTGTATCCATTTCACAGGGTCACCTTGTCTACAGCAAGGCATCTGGTCCTGAGGTGGCAGGAACCACCAGCAAGGATTAATCTCAGGTGCCAGACTGCGGGGAACACGCGTGAGTCTGCGAGTTTCCTCACCTCCAATGAATGGAGAAGGCTGGCCTAGATGTCTAACAAACACTTTTCATTTATTACATTATGATTTTACCTTGATCTGATTTATTGTGAGTAACGGTTGACTTATACCTTAACCGTATTTCCATTTTGGCGTTTGTAGGCCCTTACCAGATGGGTTCCCTCAGCCTCGTTTTCTACAATTCCATTCTTTCACTGTCTTATAAACTTTTTAAATAAGTCGTGATAAAATTGAA